TAAAAAACAAATGCCAAATGTCTTCTTTGATATAAAGAGAGCAACTAAGAACAGAACAGGGAGGAAGAGCATGAGGAAAAGATTAACATTAAACAGAGACGAGTGGGGGTAGAGAAAGGGAGAGAGAAGGGAAAGCATATGGAAATGGTAGGAGACCCTCAATGTACACAAAATTACATAGAAGAGGATGTGAGGGGAAAGCGGGGGAAACAAGGGAGAGAATTGAACAACAGCAGATGAGGTAGAGAGGGATGATGGGTGGGGAGGGGTGGGAGGATAGTAGGGGATAGGAAAGGTAGCAGAATACAACAGTCACTAATATGCCATTATGTAAAAATGTGAGTGTGTAACCGATATGATTCTGCAACTTGTATTTGGGGTAAAAATGGGAGTTCATAACCCAATTGAGTCAAATGTATGAAAGATGATATATCATGAGCTTTGTAATGTTTTGAACAACCAATAAAAAAATATTTAAAAAAATATAATGCTCAAACAAAATAAAGCCATTTTCTCATTTGGAATTTTCACTCTGTAAAGCAGGTAGCATTGGGTTTATCATCCCAATTTTCGTTGCAAAGCAAGCTGAATTTCAGTGTAGTTATTTGCATAAAGTCCTAAAGGAAAAGCAGTCTGTAAAGGAAAATATAGTTGTTCAAATCAGATTAAAATTTTAACTTCGATTCAGTGTCTTCCTTTTTTTAAAAATTAATATTTTTGTGGATGTGTTCTTGCTTTACTGCCTAAGACTGGTACAGGAAATAGTGAAAGTTCTTTAGAAAATTCTGAGGCACTCTCAAAGAATTGCTGCAGTCTCATCTGGCCTTTAACCGTGTGCTTTGGTCACCATAACAATATACTAAAGAATGAGTGGCCTAAGTAACACAAATTCATAGTCTAAAAGTTTTAGAGTCTGAAAATCCAAGATTAATATGCCAGCAAGATTGGTTTCTGTTGAGCCCCCTCTCCTTGGCGTGTAGGTGGAACCTTCTCTGTGTCCTGGTTGTGGTGTTTTTCTTGTGGTGGATTTTTGTTTGTTTGTTTTACCCTGTTAGATTTGGGTCCCACCCTTCTGAATTCATTGAACCTTAATTATCTCCTTAGAAGCCCTGTCTCCAAATACAGTCAAATTGGGGATTAGGGCTTCAACATATGAATGGCATTTTTAGTATTTTTTAATTTTATGGCGTAACTTGGTTAGTTGGAAATAATGTTTATACTCAGTATTTGCATGGTACCAAATGTAGCAAATATCTGTATTTATTTTTGTGAATATAGAGTCTTAAGTTGTATCAGTGATACTTGCTATAAAGTAACTTCCAACCTTGAAATATTTTAATAGAAAAATATATGTATTAAATGTACTACTTTTCTTATACCCTTACCCAGTTTGTTAATAGGTAAAGGTCTCAGTCAGGTTAATAACCATCCTCCTTCTTCTCCCCTCATCAACTTTGCAGATGGAGAAAATAACATACAGAGAAATTGGCTTGTCAGAAGTCAGAGCAAGATATTGGCGGATCCAGGGATAAATCCCAAACGTCATAACTCCTTAAGCAGTCTTTAGTTCATTGATTATGCAGCCTAGTGGTAAGTTCTTTTATGCTATCATAGAGGTAAGAGGGATTAAGAAACTGTATTAGCTTTCCATATCTGTGAAAAAATATCTGAGAAAATCAGCTTAAAAGGAGAAAATACTTAGTTTGCTTCATGGTTTCAGAGATTTCAGTCCATGGTCATTAGGACCTGTCACTTTGGGTACATGGTAAAACTTTCAAACATCGTGATAGGAAGCATGTAGTAAAGCAAAGTTGCTTTTGGTAGCTGGGAAGCAAGGAGAAACAGAGGAAAGGAATGGAGTCCTAATATATTCTTCATGGGCATGATCCCAGTGATCTATTTCCTCTACCTAGGCCCTACCTCCTAAAGGTCCCAAAGGCTAATGTCCATTTCATGATTCAAAATGCATTCAGTCCATCTCCAATAGTCAGTAAAGTTTTAACAATTCCAACACTGCTGAAAAGTCTTAATCTTCTCTGAGACTCAAAACATATTCTTAGCTGTGAACCCCCATAAAATAAAATAAAAAGTTACATACTTACAACATACAGTGATAAGACAAGCATATGGTGAACATTCCCATTCCAAAAAAGAAAGAATGGGGTAAAAAAAAAAAAGGAGGAATGGAACTAAAGCAGGACAAATCTAATAGGACAAACATAAAATCCTATAGCTCCATGACCAGCACACAGGGCACACAAAGGTGCAATATAAGATCTAGAAAGCTTGAGCAGCCCTGTCCCCTATAGTCTTGCTGGCTGCAGCCCACATGGACTCAACTGTTTGGTTGACTGTGCTCTGTGTCTGAAGCTTTCCTTGGTAGATGCTCCACATTCCTGACATCTCTAATTTCCTGGGATCTCCAGTGCAACTTCAATCTCATTCTCACAACTTCATTTATTTCCCTTTCAGGAGCTACTTGCAAGATCTCTGACCTTGCTATGCTCTGCCTGGCTTCCCACACTTTCCTTTGAATTCTCAGTGGAAACCATAACCCAATCCTTGCATTCTCCTCACCTAAAATCCAGCATCATGCCAAGCATGGTGGTGCAGGCTGTAAGCCCAGCAACTCAGGAGGCTAAGTCAGGAGCCAGCCTCAGCAAATTAGTGAGGCCCTAAGCAACTTAGTGAGACCCAGTTTCTAAATAAAATATAAAAAGGGCTGGGATATGGCTCAGTGTTTAAGCATCTCTGGGTTCAATCCCTGGTACCAAAACAAAACAAAATAAAAACCAGCATCTCCTGGATAACACTAAGGTCTGCCTCCAGGAACTGGGTCTGTTTGGACCACAGCTGCAGCCACCTCTGTGTGCTTGGATAATTGAACAAGGGGAAATTAATCCAAGAAACAATTCCTTATGTAGCCCTATGGAAAAAAATGTGCCTGGGGGAGGGTCTCTTCTCAAGCAAGTCTTTTAAATAAATTTGTACTCTACACTCTTGAGTCTAGGATGGGTGAGTTACTGATAATTCCTGTAATGCCTTCAAGGCAACTTTCTTATTTTCCTGGTGCAGAGTGTTTGGATTCTTCTCCTTCCTTCTCTCCTCYTTCCCCATTGTCCTTAAGGGACAAGGTCTTTCGATGTTGCCCAAGCTAGGCCCAAGCAATCTTCCCACTAACCTCCCAAGTATCTAGGCCAGTAGGTATGCCAAGCTTAGCTTTTAAAAATGGAACTAATAACTTTAGCAACCACACCCACCTTAGCCAAAACTTTGCATGCACTTCTCTGGCTGAACACATTTAAAAAAATTTTTTGCTCAGGTGATTCTCCTGGATTGGCTCTGGTCAACTGGAGGGTCCCACCCAGGAGTGAATCGCAATAAAGCCTTGTTCAGCTGCTTTAAAAAAAAAAAAAATTTTTTTTTTTTTTCCCTCAGCTAGCACAGTGGTGCATGCCTACAATCTCAGTTACTTGGGAATCTGAGGCAGGAGGATCACAAGTTTGAGGCCAGTCTCAGCAATTTAAATGAGACTTTGTCTTAAAATGAAATTTTAAAAAAAATAAAGGACTGGGAATGTAGCTCAGTGATACAACACCCTTGGGTTTAATCCCTAGTAACAACAACAACAAAAATTCCATCTGTTTTTTACTTTTGATTTTCATTAAATCTGTCTGAAAGCAGCCAGCAATACTCATGATATAGCATGACTGCTGTTTTGCTTTGAAATTTCCACCTTCAGATTTATTAATCCATACCTTTAAACTCAGCCTTACATAAAATTACAGGACATAGGCAAAATGTTTACCACAGTGTAACACATATGACCTCTAGTCCAATTTAATTCCCAACAGATTCCTTATGTACATCTGAAAGCTTATAAGCACATGTCTTTTACTCCCTGCATTCCTATCAGCATTCTCTTCTGAGTTCTTACCAGAATCTCCCTTGAAGCTCTACTTATAGTATTCTAGGCTTTTTCTGGCCCACTTCTCTGGAGTTTTCCAAATTCCTCCTGCAGCCCAATTCTGTGGGCTTCTGAACCACATGGTCAGGTATAGTCACAGCAGTGACCCCACTCTCAGTACTATTTTTCTGTGTTTGTCAACTTTGTGTCACTATGACAAAATACCTAAGAAAAATCAGCTTAAAAAGAGGAAAGATGTTTTTTTGACTCATGATTTCAGAGGTTTCAGTCTGTGGTTGCTTAGCCCTGTCACTTTGGGCCCATAACGACATTTTCTAGTTTATTGTGCCTTACCCTTTCTTATCCCTTACTCAGGACTTATAATTTGGGTGATTTGTCTTCTTTGGGATTAAGTCACATTTGCCCTTCTGCTTCACACTAAAATCATGCTATTTTCTCAAAAGCCTATCCTACCTTTATTCCTGAAATAGTTGGGAGTCTTAGTTATTAGGAAGATCGAACAACCAAGCCACATGAAAAAAATATTTAATCAGTATATTTTGTCCTCTGTTCCTCACCTCCCCTCTTTGCCCATTGTTGGTTCTTATTGTAACTCTGCTTTCTCCATTATAGTAAAAACTATGGCCACTAATGTTGACCACTTCCTCCTTCTCTTATCCACCCATATATCTTATTCCCTAGCTTCACTGAATTGTATGTAATTGTCCAACATGGTACTGTCCAAGAGCAATTAATGCAAACCACATATGTAATTTAATTTTTTATAACAGCCACATTAAAAAAGGTAAAAATAAGCAAAATTAATTTAGAAATGTATTTATTTATATATCTAAAATACTATTTTGATATGTAACCAGTACAAAAATATATACTGCAAAAATCTTTGAAATCTGGTTTCTGTTCTACAGCACATCAGATACCAAGTTTTATCAAAAATATTTGATCTATATTTAGATTACAAAAAATTTACAGTTGAAAAAGTAGATCTACTCAAGAAAAAAGGTGAGTTAGGCTTAGGATCCAGGTGGGGGGAGSGGGGTGAACTAGGACCTACTCTGGACCTGGGTCCCTCGCAAGTCGGTGAGGGCAGATCTGGACTGGGCCTGAGCTCTCCTAATAGTCTGCCAGTTGGAAGGGGTGGTCCTGTGAAGGGGGCTGGGCTCTGGCGGGTGTCTGCCAATGGCAGGATGGACCCAGGCCTACTGTGAGCCTGGGTCCCATGCAGGCCAGCATGGGCAGATCTCTTAACATCTTTTGTCCTATGTCAGCTTTATTTTCAAGATTATATATTTTGTCTTTGTTGCCTGAAACTCTATCTTCCAAGTGTTCTAATCTGTTGCTGATGCTTTTGGTTGACTAATTTTGGTTTATTAATTCCTTCATTTCAAGGGTTTCTGATTAGTTCTTTTTCAGAATCTTTATTTCCTTAGTGAAGTAATCTTTTATTTCTTGGGTTTTCTCTCTGATTTCACTCCTTACATCTTACGTCTTTTACTTCATAGATCAGTTTAATTATGAACTTTCTAAATTCCTTCTGTGGCTGTTATGGTTTGGATGTGCGGTGTTCCCCAAAAGCTCACGTGTGAGACAATGCAAGAAGGTGCAGAGCAAAAATGATTGGATTGTAAGAGTCTTAACCCACTCAATGAATTAATCACCTTATGGGATTAATTGAGTAGTAACTGAAGGCAGGTGGGGTGTGGCTGGAGGAAGTGGGACATTGGGTGTGGCTTTGGGGTACATATTTGTATCTGGCAAGTGGAGATCTCTCTGCTTTCTGATCATCATGTGAGCCATTTCCCTCTGCCACACTCTTTAGCCATGATGATTTGCCTCACCTTACGCCCTGAGGAATGGAGATGGCCTTCTATGGTCTAAGATCTCTGAAATTGTAATACCTCAAATAAAATTTTCCTCTAAATTGTTTTGGTCCTCCTCTAAATTTTTTTTGGTCAGATCTTTTAGTTACAGCATCAAAAATGCTGACCAAAAACAGTGGCATTTCATCTGCTGTAGTGTCAGTGGATTCTGTTTTTAAGGTATTTTGATTTGTTTGGGATGGTTTGTTACCTTGCTTTTTCCTGTTGTTTGTCTACCTATCTATCAGTATGAATCTGAGGCAACAGAATTTCTACTTTATGAACTTATAGTGTCCCTGAAGGTTTCCAGGTTAGTGGGAAACAAATAATAACAATCAATGCAAACAATATACAGCATTAAACCAAATACTTAATCCCTACTATGACATCTACAATGTTAATTGGCACAATAAATAGAAATATAAGGCAGTCAGTTGCCAAATAATAGAAAAAAGGGATTATAATTTCAAAAGGTCAATAGGAGGAATGCAAAAGAGATGTAGGTTGTTATGATTATCAAGGAGGAATAAAGAAAATAGAAGTAAAAAATTAAAGGAAGATTGAAAGAGAAAATAATTGAATTTGGCTGTTAGCAAAAGGAAAGGGAGAAAGAAAATCAAGGGAAACAGATAAGTGAAAAACCACGAACTCTACAAAATAAAACTGAAATATACTAATCAAAAACCTTAACCCTCAAAAGACAGAGCCATGAAAAGTAACTACCTTTAAAAATGCTAGAAATGAGAAAAGAGTGACAAATATGTGTATGTATAAATGTCCATAAACCATTCAGAACACAATCAAACAGAGAAAAAGAAAAGGGAAAACACAGTTCTTGGTGAAAAATTAAGGACTGTTTCCATTGTAGTAGTCAAATGTGTCAATGAGAATATGTGTCTATTCCCAAATGTCCCTCCTTCCTTTTTTTCTTGTGCATATGTACTATGCACAAGAGAAATGACCACAGGCTGTCAAATATTTCCTCTTTTTGTTTTGTTCATCAAGTTGCCAGTTGGAGTTCAAAAATTCTTAGCTTCCCCTTCTGGCAGTATGAGATAAAGTGGGTTTGAGTGTTGTGTTCTCCACTTTCAGGGTGGGGTAGCTGTAGAGTTCTGTGAGAGGAGTTCCCATAGGCAGAGATCCTGAAGGCCAGGCTTGGGTCTAAACAAGTCCCAGGTGCTTTATTGAATGGCAGTTAGTCTAAAGATATTAAATCAGAGCACTACCTGGGCAGCTGCTGATCCATGCTGGGAGACTGCACGCCTGGAGTCTCCCCTGGGTTTTACTCATGCATTGGAGGAGCCAATCCTCCACCACCCACACACCCTGCCCTTTCCGGCTTCCTGGGTTCAGTTGGAAAGCACAGTCACACCGTTCCAGCTGGTTCTACAAGCCACCAGATTCAAAGGGGGGGAAAGGAAACCAGGCTCTAGGGTCTCTATGACCTGTATTCCCCGGGATAAAACACTGTCCTTGCCTGATTTTTCTCCTTTTCTCCCAGGCATACTCTAGGTCATGCCAACAAGCATCTACCAGGTCTGTTTTTCAGACCCAGCTCAGATTTCCCAGGTCTAGGCTCCTGGACTTGCTCCTCACAGTTGCCACAGCCTCATGGCAAGGTAGCTCTTGCCTCAGCTCTCTGTAGACAACCAGAAGACAGTAGGCGTCTTTCCTATAGCACACCCTCTGGATCCATCAGCAGTGTCCTTGATCTCTGATTTCTCTGTACCAGATGCCACAATGCCACCTACAATGCATGTTTCCTTAGTCCCCCTCCCTGCTTTGCTCACAGTGGTCAGTTCTGGCAGCCACTGACAGTGGTGGCGTGCTTCCTTCTTTATTTTAATATATCCCAAGCTGTTCTGAGTGTTCAGAATTGAATCCCAGTAAAATCCCACTTTCATCTATCTCACTGGGCAGCTATTTATCCACTTTCTTGGTCTCCCACCATGGAGCAGCTTGGAAAGCAACCACCTCTACTCTGCCATCTTCTCTCCTGATGAATGTGATTTCAGTAAGGAAGTAGCAAAGACTTTAGAGTTGTTTTGAAAATATTGAGTTGGAAATGAGATTTAAATGTCAAACTGAACAATATGGAATAGGAAGTGCTCTTTCATTCATTTAATTGATTCTGATATGTAAGATATAAAGGAAAATATCACATAATACAGGTTTATGAATAGTTAATAAGATAAACACATGTGCTTAATCAAACATAAATATATACACATGGGATATAGATTCATTGCTACTACCTCAGCTCCCATAATATTATTTGTTACTTAGAGAACAAGAATCCCAAAGTTTAATAGAATCTTAGAAGTTTTTTTTTTTTCAACCCATAAATTCCCTCTCAGCTTAGGAAAGTTTACACATTTGATGATAAGTGGTCATCCAGCCTTTCTGCTTCCACAGGAAAGTTCTCATTGCCAGAAAGTCTCTGACATCTACTTCCCTACAATAAATGCTTTTTCAAATACCTCCAGTCAAAAGATGACGTTTTGTAAAACCCCTGGTAAGAACCCCAGTAGAATGCAGTTTTTGTTCAGTGATATATATGCAGTATCTAGAATCATGACTGACAAATACCAGATAAGTATTTGTAAAATGAATGAGTCTTCCTAAGCAGGATTCACATTGTTGCTTCAATTCCATTTTTCATTGTGGATTTACTCCCTTTTTGGACCATTATTATATATCTTTCATTGCTTTTGCTGCACTACATCTTCCCCTCCATGACACTATTAAACTTACTGAGCCCCAGATTTCTCATCTTCAAAAAGATATTGATAATACCTGAGGTGATAGATATGAAAATCACTGGCACTGGCCTGCTATAAGGTAATGTTAGATGTTAGTTAAATCTGAAATGGAATCAGTACAGCAACCTCTGAGCTTACCTTACCCTGACATCCATGAATGAAAATTTCATTTTTAAGATTAATTTTTAAAATTATAGCAAAACATACATAACAAAGTTTACCATTTTAATTTTTTTAGTGCTGGAAATTGAGCCCTGTGCCTCACACATAGATAAACACTCTACTACTAAGGTATATCACCAGCTCTCCATTTTAACTAATTTTTAAATGTACAGTTCCATGGCATTTCTGGTCAGAAAATTCAGAAAGACATTTACTTATGAAACCATCAGTCCCATCTATCTATAGATCATTTTTTTTATTTTTCAAAACTTAAAACTCTACCCATTAAATAATAGCAATTTCATTTTTAATATTAACCTAGTATGATTGAAATAGTAAATTTGTTGTAAAAAATTAAGATAAAGCTAAATATGAATGACTTTTATATTATCTGCAGTTTTAGATGCTCTGTTTTCTGTTATTCTTAGTTAACATGAATAACTGCTATCCAACGTTAGTGGTTTCTTTAGTTAAGTACCATTCTCTATATTACAATAGTTTTGATGAGAGCATCATTGAAATATTGACTTATTCATATGTATAACTTTTCTCTCACTCATAACTGTTTCTGAATTTGGTAAAAAGATTTTTTAAAAAGTGCTTTCTGTGTGTCAAGTTCCAGGAATACATACTGCTTAGTAAGTATTTAGATGTAGCATTCTGTAATAGGCATAAAGGTACAAGGTTGAGCTAATACTTTTCTTTCTTAGGAGCATTACCAGAAAATTTTTATAAAATAACATTTGTCCTAGATCCAGAAATATCTGGAAGAGAGAAGTGGGAATATGTTTATATGTTTGGTCACAGTTTAGGGTATGATCCTTAAAGACTTTTTGTTGTTGTTGTGGTTTTTGGTTCTGGGGATTGAACTCAGGGGCAGTCAACCACTGAGCCACAACCCCAGCCTTATTTTGTGTTTTATTCATAGACATAATATCACTGAGTTGCTTAGTGTCTCACTATTGCTGAGGCTGGCTTTGAACTTGCAATCCTCCTGCTTTAGCCTCCCAAGCTGCTGGGATTACAGTTGTGCACCACTGTGCCCAGCCCCTTAGGACTTTTAAATGGAGTAGTGACATATTTTATCTTATCTGTACTTTAGAAAAATAATGTTGATTTGTATGTAGAAAAGACACAAGAATTAAGAAACTTTTTATTGAGTAAAGGAAGAGATAATGAAATCTAAATTCAAAATTTGGTAAAGAGTTTTTAAAAAGTGCTTTCTGTTTGTCAAGTTCCAAGAATATATACATAAGCTCAGAGGTTGCTGTACTGATTCCATCCAGGAGATGGGAGAGAGGAGCTGGTCATTTTAGAGATAGAACTGGCAGAATTGGATAACCAATTGATTTGAGAACCAAAAGCAATGAAAAGCAGACAATTAAGAAGAATTTCAGATTTCTGACTTGTTATTACTAACTGGGAAAGGGACTACCAGAGAAGAAAGACATTGCTTGTGTAAGAGGAATAAATTCGATTATTAAATAGTATCATACATGTCATACTACATTAAACTACATATCACAATATACTCTGAAACATGGCCATTATTCTTAGAATGCTTTGAAATTTTTTTAAATAAGTGGTTTCTTTTATTATGTGTGACATTCTATCAGCTGCTGTTTTCTCATTTAGGAACTGATACAAGAGAAAACAACCACATTACAAAATGTACACTGTTTAAATACTTCCTGATACACTGAGTAATTTGTGGCAGCATTTAAATAACAGTGTACATTTTGTAATGTAGCTGTTTTCTCCTTTTCTTCTTTGGGCACTGCTTTCCAGGTTCCTCTAGTTTGTGTGAGGAATTAAAAATACTTCTTCTTGGGCTAGGACTGAAGTTCAGCTACATCTAATTAATTTCTATAATTAGAAATTATAAAGGGGATCCAGTACTACCACCCCATATATTTATTTGCTGTGTTTACTTCCATTTTTTTTTAGTGATAATTTTTAAGAAGTGTATTCATTTGTTAGGGCTGCCATAACAAAGACCACAAGTTGATGGTTTAAATGATACTAATTTATTTTCTCATAATTCTGGAGTCCAGAAGTCCAAGATCAAGGTGTCAGCAGGGTTTCCTCTGAGGCCTCTTGTTCTTAAGGTATAGATGGCCATATTTTCCCTCTGTCTTTATGCCATCTTTTCTCTGGCCCTGTCCAGTTTTTTTTTTTTTCTATAAGGATATCAGTCATATTGAATTAGGGCCCACCTCAGTGACCTCATTTTAACTTAACTACCTCTTCAAAGATCTTTTCTCCAAATACACACTCTGAGGTACTGGGGAGTGGGGACTTCAATATGAAATTTGGGAGGGCACAGTTCATCTACATGGGTGCTCTTTGTTTTTAGTTTTTTTTATATATAATTGTGATATTTTATGAATGTAACTTTTATTCCCTTGTTTTACCTAATAAAATTACAATTTAACATTTTCCCATTTATTCTTTAGCCTTTGTAAAAGTTTAACAGCTTCAAAATATTTTTCCAAGTGGTTACACAGCTGAATCTGAATCAATCTTCCGTTCTGAACACTTAGGTATTCCCTCTTTTCTGTTACTATAAGCAGTTCTAAAGCTTTTTAATTATAACATTCTTGTCTCTATTTGCATTATTTCCTAAAATACAATCTCAAAAGTGATGACTTAGTTAAAAACTGTTAATGGAAACTGCTAAATTCAGAAGTAGTGAATCTTGTGTTTTCTTTCTACATGACTCTTTTCTCTCTTCCTGCAGTAATAAACTGGAATGAAGTTAGAAAATACAAATATGGTCACCTATCAGAGTCTGCATCCCAATATCAAGGTAAGAAAAAAGCCATCTAGCATGAAAAAGTTTTATTTGACATTTTTTACCATAAAACATTTGTTCTTAGAAGTCTGAGTTTATAAATAACTCACTTTTTAAAGAAAAAGCAAATATTGTCATTATTAAGGTGTCTATAAAAAGTAACATTTTATTCTGAGCTGAAAATCTGGAAACGTACATTTCTTATAAATAATCCCAAATTTATTTAGAGCTTTAGGCACTGTTTCTCAGTCCCTCCAGGTTTTCATAGTTTTTATTAGTTTAGTCTCTAGAGGAAGGCAAAGTTTAGTGTACTGCCACAGCTACTAACTAATAAAACTCAGTATCTTTTAAAATGAAGTAATCAGATAAACAAACTTTCAAACCCCTATTTTACTCCAGAATTGCACCTTTCTGTCATTTCAGTATGTTTATCATGATGACCTATGCTATAACATTTTTTTGTTTAATAGAAACTGGTGACATCCTGGAGCTAGGTAAGATATTTTTCTTGTTTCTGCTAAATAAAGGGAATTACTAAACCTGGGATAAGATTGTAATCAGTTTTACTCTACTAGGAAGATAATTCCACGTGTCTCCATCTCATAATCCAATGAACTCTGTGCTCACCTGCCTAATGTAATTTATCTCAGTGCCACATCAAGTCCTACTTTTCAGGAGGTCACAGACAAAGCTAACAAAAAGGAAGGGGGTGTGGCTGATTATGTAGACTATAGGAGGAAAGGAAACTGAGCCCCACTGGAAGTAACTTCTTAATGCACTGCAACTAGAACTAAACAAAGTTCCACTGTCATAAACCAGAGTTTGGTGGGATTTGCCCAAAAGAAATTAATTATAAATTGAACTGAAATTAAACCTAAAGATTTTCTAAGTGTATGAACTAAATTAAAACTAAAATATTAAAATGTTATCAGGTAACAAATCAGATTGATACTTCTTTCGGTTTTTATCACTGTGTAGTATACTTCAGGATTAGGATTTGAGTAATAAAACTAATACCAATATTTCTCAATCAGCTTTTGGGTTTTTACATAAACATTAATATTAATTCTTAGAATCCTTTAAAATCTTTTTACATATTACCTTAATGTTGGTATCCTGATACCTTTATGAATTTTTGTTCAATTTTTTTTTTTTTTTTTTTTGTGTGTGTGTGGTGCTGGGGATTGAACCCAGGGCGTTGTGCATGCAAGGCAAGCATTCTTCCAACTAACTGAGCTATATCCCCAGCCCCCGTTCAGGTATTTTGGTATATTTTGTTACTGTAATTACATGTGTTCAGCCTGTTATTGTCTATTTGCTTTTTCTTGCCTTTTGTTCCTGTAACATGATACTTCCCATTGCCCACTGACACACAGCATAACATAAAGTAGAACACTAAGAGTCAGAACTTCCTGGGTGTGTTGAGAGCCAGCTCTGCCACTTAGTTACTCTTAAATCCTTAGTTTTCTGATTTGTAAAATGGGGTTAATTCCATTCTGCTACTTCACACGTTGTAAAGAAGATGTGCATGAACTAAATCATGCAAAAATCCTTTAAAACTTTCAGATACTGTAGAGGATTGTTTTGACTTTCATTCTGTTCAACGATTTTACTCAGATTTTAAGTCAGATCTTCTGACATTCAAAGTGAAGCATTATGAATGTGAGTGAACTGAAGAAATTAATGAAATTAAAATATGCAGGTAAAAGTACCTGGCACTTTATAAAGAAATGATACTTATTTTTATTGCTCCTTAAAACCTTTTTCAAGATTTCTAAGATGCCAAAAAATAGTGGGAAAATGCTCAGACATAGGAATCATGCAGGACTTGGTTCAAATTCCTGTTCCCCACTTATCAGTTTAGTAACTTTAGGCAAATTATTTAATATTTTTGAGCCCATTTTCTTATCTTTATAATGAGCACAAAACCTGCTTTTCAGGCTGTAGTGAACATGGGAGATGCTGTGCTAGTCTGGCATGCCAAGGGAAGACAGTGATAGCTGCTGCTAGTTTTGTTGCTCATATGAGTAATAATTGTAGTTCAGTGACAGCTTTAGGCATGTAAACAATCTATTTATTGAGAGGGGATTATGAAACATGGATGCTCAATTCACATAAAATATATCAGTTGACAATGATGTTAAAATTTGAAAGTGTAGTTTTCCTCATGAGAGTACTGGTTAGCACAGGCATAGCCTTTGACATGACTTAATACTACATATTTTATTTTTTTTACATCAGGCAGAGAGAACAGCCCCAAATATCAAACAAATAAAATTTAGTAGATCTGTGGAACTTCAGTGTTGGAAATGCTGCTCTGGCCCAGCATTTCAAATTTGACATTTTGAATTTCTTATAAAATGTCTTATCTTGAACTCTACAAGTTGCAGGGGACTTATAGCCTCCTCAGGTAGATTGCTTCATATTAGATAGATATTGGGCAAAAATCTCTTTCTTTGTAATTTATATTAGTCACATTCTAACTTTTAGGGCTGTATGAAACAGGTTTAGCCTATTTTTTATTCACTGGTCTCTTGATTATTAGAAAGCAGTTGTAGGAACTAGTTTGTCACTGCTGCTCTGCCATTTTCCTGGTTTAAGCCACTATCATCTCACACCTAGATTATTAATGGCATAGCTTCCAGCCTCCATACCCTTCCTTCCAGTCCATTGTTCGCCCTGTAGCCAGAATGACTGCACCCCAAGCCCTTCATCACTTTTGCTTCTCATTAACATTGTGTGGGAGGCATTGATATCTGAACAGTGCTTCTATCTACAACTGCTTTCTTAGACTACTTTTTCTTTAAACTTTACCCAGTAAACATACCAAAAAATCCAGTTTGTAGAACTCCTTTTGCTCACCTCCAAGCCTTTATACATGCTTTTATTTTCCTGTCTAAAACAAAGTTTCCTTTCTCTTTGGCTTCTGCTTATCTTTTTACACTGTTACTTAGGATCCTAAAGATGACTTCTTTGCACGTTTCCACAAACCCTCCAGGTGCTCCTATAATACCCACCACCTCTCTAGGTGTAGCCCTTACCATAGCATATTATAGTGGATTGTTTGGCCTCTGTGTCTCACTATAACAAAGCTCTTCAAGGGACAAGGACAATATTTGATCATGATTATGTCTCCAGCACAATACTGTTGATATTTGATAACTGCATGGATGAGAAAATGGCTCTGAGACTTTGCTTTTTTTCTAATGCTAAGTAGTCATGAACTATTCCTTCAGTTGATCCTCAGGTGACTCTTTGCCACAGGTCACCATTTCAACTCTGCTTTGCTGTATCTGTCTCAAAGTAACTCCCAGATGAAATTTATTATCCCACATGTGATTTTACTAGTCCAGTCAAGATTAGGACTATTACTTCTGTGCTGCTTTTCTTTTAATTCATTCAAAAACTTTCACTAAATCTTTATCATTAAGTTTCAAACACTGTATAAAAAAGTGAAGATTTTAAAAATGAATAAATATATTTCCTATCCATAAAGAGCTCACATAAATAATTATAATGATAGGATGTGATGACAGTAGAGGCATAAACAAGATATTATAGAAAATATGGAAATTATAGGATTTGTTCTTGGAATATAAGAAAAGTCAGAGGTTTTGCAAAGAAAGTAACATTTTTACTAAGTGTCATTCAATGGGTAGAGGCGACATGGCAGACATAAGAGGCAAATAAAGCCAAAAGTTGTTTAAGGAAACTCTTAAGTCATATTGTGATTCTGTATCTATGAAGCCTCCCAAATCCAAATCTTTTTCATTTCAGGATACCTGCCTGAACCTATAAAAAGTTTTTAATTTCTTCTCTCTATTAATTTCTTCTTTATTAAATAAAAATAAAGTGACTTTCTTTTTCATCCTTTTTCAAAGAAGAAACCACATGGAAATGTTAGTGGAGCAATATCATAGTTGAACATATTTTTTACCCAATATTCTCCAACCTTTGAGAATTTGATGAAAGACTGTACATATTAAATCACTCTGATTCTTGTGTGCATGTTCTTTTAAAACTAAAACTAGCTGGCAGAAACATATAATAATGAAAAGTGTTGCATTGAAATTAGGAGCTGAGTTTTTACTTGAAACCTTTCTTTTTCAATCAGGGTATTTGATGAGTTCTTGACTTTTAGTTAGGATGTTGTCTCGTATGATTAAAAGGTTACTAATTATATAATTCAGTTTCTATTATTTGTTTTCAGAATTTTTTTTGGATTGGTGTTTTATTTTGAAGTGATCCATTAAAAATATAAAGCTATTAATTTTAAAGGGTTCTGAGCAATGTTTTGAGAAAGAATGACTGTGTATCTTATAGCTTTAGACATTTTTAAATAGCTGGATTTTATTAAAGTTAGGTATGCCACAATTTATAAATCATCTGAAAAGTGCCAAGAAGACATACCATTGAAGGTATGACTTATGAAAAAGACTTGCTGTAGCAGATATTTAAATTGGTTATGAAATGATGTGAAGCTGAGTGCTTCTCATGATGGAATAGACAGGCTAATTAAAGGAACAGAACAGAGTCCAGAAATAGATCTAAGAATACATAAGAAATTAATATAAGATCAAGGTGGCATTTCAAAGAAGTAGGAAGAAGATGATTTATTCAGTAGATGATATTCGAGCACATTTATTGAATATGTGTAAAAAGGGAAAACTAGAACCTTTTCTCATTCATTTCATAAAATAAATTCCAAATACATCAAATACTAAAAAAAAAAACGAAACCAGAGAAATCATAGAAACATGGGCTAATATTTTTTATAACATTGAAGTGAGGAAACTATGGTTTGAAAACCAAGAATCCATAAAAGAACAGACTGAGAAACTTAAAGGCAAACCCTACCAAACTGAGACATACATCCTCAGTATAAGGACAGACAGAGGATTAATAGTCTTCATTGACAAAGACCCCTTAGAATCTGTGAGAAAATAAAAAATTAACTCGGGAGAAAAATAACAAAATAAAATGTAAACTAGATGATAACTGTAAAAATAAGAGCTTTAACTTTATTAATCAAAAAACTATAAATAAAAGATAAATAGTACTTTTTTCATTGATAATATTTATCAAAATTATAAAGATTATGCCCACACACAAGAATGGGGTCCTAATTAGAAAAAGATATAGCCTATGCTTGTATAATTTTATGAAAATGGATTCTACTATTATATATAATGAAGAAGAACCAGTTAAATTAATTTAAGTAAAGAAAATATTAACTTTTCCTTAAAAAAAAAAAACAGTTTTGGAAAGGTGTGGGAAACACACTCTCATGCAGTTCTGATGAGAATAGAAATTTGTATAATCATTCCAGAGACTATTTGGCAACATGTATTATATCAAAATTTAAAATATTCGTATTCTTTGTTCATTAATCCTACTCTGGAGTTTGTCCTAAGAAGATAATCTGAAAAGTATTCAAAGAGTATACACTTAATGAAATAATAGTATTTAACAAAATTTGTTGTTATATAAATTATGGTATATATGAACAGTGGAATATCATTTAAACAGTAATTTTGGAGTAGGATTTTTTTTATCTAAAAATGTTGATTTTCCTTATTGCTCTCAGGCATTTGAATTCTACACTTATGTGGAACAAAGTAGAGATCCTRTAAAAGAATGTGACCAGAATGCCAACTAACAAACATCTTGTTTATTATTTTTCTTCCCCATTAGAGTGTAAGCTCAACATGGACAGAGACTTGCTCTATTGCTCTTGGCCATATATTCTCAGTGCTTAGAGCTAGGGTTAGCATACAATAGATGTTTGATAAATATTTGTTGAATAAAGAAATATTAGAAAAGAGGATTCAAGCATCCAACTAGGTGAACTCCTGTGCTTTACATTTTATAGGCTTCTTATGTCATTTGTGAGAAATTGTCCCTTCATAGTACAGGCCCTATTTTTCTAATGATAAATGTTATTGTAGTGTGGTATGTGTTAGAATTTAGAAAACAATTTCATAAGCATTATTCAGTGATATAAATAAGACGACTGGCTTTTTCTTTTCTGTAATGTCTCAGCTTAGAAAGTTCCTCTGTAGAGCATATGTCCATAACTTCACTAAGATATCTCCTAGTTCATCCCATTGCCTCATTTTATTCCTTTCAAATACTTATTATTTTATTTATTTATGTGTTAATGGTGTCTCATTATATAATAGAATGTAAATTCTATGAGGGTAGGGACCCCAAGCTATACTGCCTCACTCATGGCGGATGTTCAACAAACATCTATTGAATAAATTATTGAAAATGATCAAGTGATAATGTTGAATGCTTTGAATTATAATGTTAGAATAATTGAAAACACTCAAATTATGTGTGTTCACAAAGCATTATACAAAATTAGTTAATATTTATTTTCACAATGATCTCAGACCTCAAGTATGGAACAAATTTCCCTGTACTACATTCTCAAGGCAATCTGTATTACCTCATTAACTTAAATTTGTCTTAATTGTAACAGAATATTTGTTATTACTTTTTTACTATATCTCCTTATCTCTCTGCTGAAATCTCTATAAATTTAGGAACTTTATCCATCTTGTTCCCATAAGATTTAACACAGTTCTTTGTACTTGGAAGGAATTTAAATATTATTAAGTGAAAAATGTATGTGCAATCATACGAGATAGGTATTATCTTTGTTTTTCAGATAAGTAAAGTGAGGTGTGGAAGGATTAAGTAATTTCCCCCAAGATTGTTAGCTATAGAAACAAGACTTAAACCAACATCTTCTGACTTCAAATATCATGTTCTTTCAGCTACACCAATAGTTTCTTTTTTTTTTAACACCAATAGTTTTTATACACAGGTTTTAATTAGAATTACCTAATGAGCCTTTCAAAATACATGTTCTCATGCCACACTTGAACCCTATTCATTGAGAACTTCTGAAGACAGGGTCCTGAACTTTGTTCAAGTGAGTGAAAAAAAATCTATGATTATGGTTTTGGTATCAATTGTTTAGACCATGGATTAGCGAACTATTGTTTGGGGCCAAATCCAGCCCACTGCCCTTTTTTATCAGTAAAGTTTTAATAGAACATAGCCATGCTCATTCATTTACATATTGCTTATGGCTACTATTGCACACAATAGCATAGTAGTTGTGACATAGATTATATGACCTGCAAAGCATAAAATTTTTATTATTTTGTTTTCACCAACTCCTGGTTTATACCTTGCTGTCTATAACATAGTGCTTGCAAATATTTGTGGTAGGCATTGGTAGTAAGTGTTTTCAAGTATTCTTATTGAGTCAATAAGAACTATCTTAATTTGCAGTTTTACTTAGCTTTCTTGCCTCTGTGACCAAAAGACCTGACAAGAATAATTAAAGGAGGAAAATTTTTGTTTGGGGCCCATGGTTTCAGAGCTCTCAGTTCATAGATGGCCAACTCCATTGTTCTGGGCCCAAGATGAGGCAAAATATCACGGCAGACGAGTATGGTGGAGGAAGGCAGTTCAGAACATGAACACCAAGAAGCAGAAAGAGAGCTTCCTTTACCACAGACAAAATATAAACCTTAAATACAAGCCCCCAGTGACCTACTGCCTCCAGCTATAATTATCACCCAGTTAATCCATTCAAGTGGATTAATGCATTGATTAGGTTTAGGCTCTCATAAGCCAATCTTTTCTCCTCTGTACTTTCTTTGCATTGTTTCAACACATGAGATTTGGGGAGACACTTAATATCTAAACCATAACATCTGATTAAGGGACTAAGCTTGAGCAGTCAAGTATAAGAAAAATATCAGTCTAGATATGGTTTAAGCCATCAATCATCATAGTGGATAGACTGCTTTTAATAAAGAAATTATTTTTCATTTAGTTTCTAATAGGATGTTTCCTAAGTGGTGTAATGTCTGAGGTTTCTGGCTTGTATACCAATAGCACAGGAATTGATTCATGTGCTTTGGTAATAGAGAACTATAATTAATATTCTAATTATTGTGGTGTCACTAATGATGTGGTAATTCTTAAAATGAAAGTCTCTTGGGTTCTTCTAGTCAGAATTCAAGCCAATATAAGCAATTAACCAGAACTCATCAAACCTCTAGGCATGTGTTGCCCAATTCATTAGCTCTTAGCCACATATAGATATTTAAATTAAAATTATTTAAAATCAAATAAAATTTAAAACTCAGTTTCTAATCCATACAAACTACATTTCAACTGTTCAGAAATTACATGTATGTATTGCTAATTTACTAGACAGCACAGATACAGAACATTTCTATCAGCACAGAAAGTTATATTGGACATGTTGCTCTAAATAAAAGAGTTTAAGAGTTTCAATTCAGTGAAATGCAAGACATACTATTTAATTTAATTTTTAATTTATAAGGATAGAATAATTATTTGTATGATTTCTTTTTCTAATAGTGAACAGTTATGACATGTATTCAGTTCTTGATTTAGGACCCTCTCAGCTAAGAGCAAATTCTTTATTAAATTCTGATAACCTCTTTAAATCTTGACGTCAGGAAATATCAACTTATTTACCCATGGACTATGTCTGGTCATGATGATTAATCATTGACTAATTCATGAAATGTTTCAGAACTGACTGATTTCTGGCCAAATCTATTTGGCTTAGTTAAGGATGATGGTGGGAAAGGAACCAATTTTAAACAGAAGCTATAAAATCAATAGAGTGTAAAGTCTTGGCATCTTCTTTGGAGTGCTTTAGTTTTCATCATTCAGTGACTCGTTTTTATTCCCAGCATCTAGTGCTTTTTGCATGGCCCAAAGGGGTCCTGTGCTGCTCCACTACAGAGGAAACTTCAAGAAATGCTGGTTTGCTACAGTGTTTTAGCTTGTGAGAGTCTCTGGGACCTTCCCTGCTCCATCATGGGGTCACCTCTAGGTGGGTATTAGGAGGAGATTGGTAATTGGTTTAACCTTTAAATAAATAACTTGGTAATCTTTTTTGGTCCAGTGAAATCTGTATTTAATAGCCTGTCCCTTACCATGTTTTTCTGACCCCAGCATGATGTCACCTTAAAGATTCTCTAGGACAGTGTTCTTTAAACTTTGAAAGACATATTCTTATTTACAGTCATCATAAATGCTTCCCAGGTCCTACTTTCTCTAGATTACCAGACCTTTGTCATTTTGTACCTCAAAGCAATACAGCTGTGACTGGGATGGGAGTGGGGTAGGGATAGGTGAGAGAAAGCCAGTTTAAAGAGTGAGGACTGAAGTATCATCTCACTCCTCTGGCTTCCCCTCCCCTCAAATCCTTTCACCTCATGTCTCCAGATGCCTTTCTTTCATATTCTTTCTAAGCCAAGAAGGTAGAATCCAACCACATTGGGTGTTAAAATCTGTCATTGGCTGTAATAAAGGGCCATTCCAGGAATCAGATTGTTCAGAAGGAATCTCCCCACTCCCTTTCTGTTTCTTCTGTTCTGTTTTCCATGAGCTTCCTGGGCACTTCTTTAAGATAGTTGTATATCTTGCTTTGGAATTTTGGATTACTTTAGAGACTAACATGGAGAACACTTTGGGACATCTTGAAACCATGATTTTATTAAAACATTAATCTAATAAATGATCCATTCATGTCAACTAAATCCCTCTCCCTAATACTCCTTGTAGCCCAAACAGGAAAAAAAATCTTTATGCTCAAAAGAAGTCTGCAAGTGGCTTAATGTTTAGCATAGATTATATCCCAAAAGCATTTTTTAGGAAGTTGACTGTGATAGAGATTTCTATTTCCTTTACAGGTCATTTTACCTGGGACAAATACCTAAAAGAAACATGTTCAGTCCCAGCGCCTGTCCATTGCTTCAAGCAGGTAATTAATTCTCAACATCATTAGTAGGTGGGAGGCAGGTAGTTTGCTTTTTTTTTTCTTTTCTGGTTCCTAAATAAACAAAACTCGAGGCAGAAGCCCTTTGACTGTTCACCTGAGGTCTCCAGAGTAAACTAGTATGGGAGGACCACAACTCAAGAAGTAAAATTTGGTCACTATGAGTTTTAGCAGTAGACATTTTCCCCAACTTCATCCCAAGTAACACCCTTTCCTTCTTCTTCACCTCCTTGAGGACATTCTGTGTTACTGAAAAAAATTGTTATTTTTTACTGTAGCTTTCAATTCAAACAGATAAGAAGGAGACTTACAGCCCTTAGACAGTTCTTGAAAGAGGACCAGTATTCCTTTCTCTGTACTCAATAACTTTGTCACAATCTTATCTTCCTTTAAGAATGTTGACACTGAGTCCCACTGGGAAACATTCGGGAACTAATAAGAGGTCATCCAGAGCTTCCGCCATAGAATTAAATGCTGGAGAAAGCGCACATGTGATGTTGAGTGTGTCAGTATGGATAAAGTTGATAGATGAAAAGGTGTACTTATGCTAAACAGATCTTAACATCAGGAAGTTATTTACATCTGTCTTTCTTTAGCACTCAATGGTTATTTTTCTCTGTCAACATTTCACTTTTAAGTTTTGAGTTTTATTTTCTAAGTGAAAATATAAATTTAGGACCTGCTTATTTAAAATAATAGGGGCTGAATTCTTATTTTTACCTGAAACATTTTCTTAAAGTCATATTGTAAACAATAGTTTTCAAGTCACTGCAGAAAGGGTAATAAACAGTGATCTTTGAGAGATGGACAACACATGAATTGAGCCCTGTGTGATATCCCAGCTTACTGTGTTAAGAGAGTTTCCAGATCATGGCTCAAGAAGAGGAGCCCAGGTTGATACAGCAGATTTCCTAATTTGAGGAGATGGAACTGGGAGTGAAGGAACAACAAATTGTCTAGAATTTGCAGATTAAAGTACCCAAGAAGAGAGAACTTCACAGGAAGAAAACTACAAAAATCTACAGAGAGTCCTTTTCAACTACTCAGGAAAGTTCTACTGTCCAGTATATACATATGAGGAAACTACTTAAAGTCAAAGGAAAATCTATCTGACAGAATTAGAAGGAATAGAGCCTAACAGGACTTGGAATCATTTCTCTTTTTTTAATATTTTTTTTTAGTTGTAGTTGGATACAATATCTTTATTTATTTATATGTGGTGTTGTCCAGTGCCTTACAAGTGTGASGCAGACGCTTTACCAATGAGCTACAGCCCCAGCCCTGGAATCATTTCTGATTCCATCTACTCTACTGGAAAAAAAATTCTTAATTCATTGGGTATTGAGTTAGAATGCCCAGGAAATCTTGATTAGTAGCAATTGTGTTGATAATGAGCCATAGCCTGAGCACTGTTGCAGACTTGCCTAATAAATTATAAAATTAACACTCAAAAGGATTAAGTTATTCTCATGTAGCAGCATCTGGGAACAAAGCACAAGCAAATTTAAAGAAATGCAAAAATATCCATTACAATACCTGGCATCCATTCGTAGATTACAAGGCATGCAAAGAGGCAGGAAAATGCAATCAATATTAAAGAGAATAATCAATTGATTGGAACTAACTCAGGACCTACACCGATCATAGAATAGAAAACAAACACACTAATTATTCTAATTTATTGACATACATAATTTAAGCAGAAAAATAGAAGATATAAAAAAGACTTAAATTATACTGCTCTATGTGAAGGAAAAATATACTGGGTAATATTAATGGCAGAAGAAAGATTAGTAAATTTGAAATAATCCAAACTGAAATGCAAAAATAAAATGGAGAAATAAAAAGAAAGACCAGTGAATGGCGGGATAACTTCAAGAGGCCAAATAGACATGTAATTGGAGTTTCCAAAGAAGAAAGTATTTTTCAAAAAATGAGGAAAATTGTAATTATACAAATTCAAGAAGCTCAGTGAATCCCAAAAATAAGAAACAAGAAAAAAAAACTACACGAAAGCATGTCATAATTACATTATACAAAGTCATTGATATGGAAGACCTAAAAGTATCCAGAGAAAAAAGATATTTTCCATATTACTAATATAAGGATAACATTGAATTTCTTGTTAGAAATAATGCAAGCAAGAACAAAGTTGAGTAGCATTCTCAAAATACTGGAGGAAGCACCATCAACCTAGAATACTATGCCCAGCAAAAAAAAAAAAAAAGAAGATATTTTCAGATAAACAAAAGCTGAAAAAAATTAATCATTAGCAGACTCACATTACCAGAAATGTTAAAGGAAAAATCCAAAAGGAAAGTCATACCAGATGGAATAACAGATCTATGCAAAGGAATGAAGGTCACTGGAAATTATAATAACAAGAATAAATAGCCAGGTGTGGTTAGTACATGCCAGTAATCTCAACAGCTCAGGAGGCTGGGGCATGAGGATCACGAGTTCAAAGCTAGCCTCAGCAAAAATAAAGCATTAAGCAACTCAGACAGACCCTGTCTCTAAATAAAATACAAAATAGGGCTGGGGATGTGGCTTAGCAGATGAGTGCCCCTGAATTCAATCCCTGGTACCAAAAAAAAAAAAAAAAAAAAAGTAAATATTTTTTCTTAATATTTAAATGTCTATGAAATGTATTTGGTGTGTAAACAATTATAAGTATTTATTTGGGGGATTACATATATGTGTAAAATGTATGTAGCAATAGTATAAGGGCAGAAAAGGAGAAATCTAAGTGTAGATATACCATAAGTTTCTAATATATAAAAGCAGTATAATATTACTTAAAGATAACCTATATAAAGTTATTTACTATAAACCCTAGAAAAAATATTAAAATAATTTAAAACAAATAGCAATATAGTATATTTGAGCCCAGACTTATCAGGAATCAAATGAAATATAAAAGGTCTAAACATTCCATTAAAAGGCTAAGATTGGCACATTGACAATTTATTTGTATACTGTCTTCAAGAAAAATTATACTTCAAATATAAAGACAATAGGTTAAAAGTAAAAGGATGAAAGATGATATATCATGCTAATATTAGCCATAATGTATGACCATAATATAGCTGAAATGAGTATATTAATCTCAAAGTATATTTCAGAGAAAATATTACCAAAACAAAGAAGGTAATTTCATAGTGATAAAGGGGTCTTACACTACTTACATGAAGCAAAAGTTGATGGAATATAAGGAGAAATGGATAAATCCAAAACATGTCTATACTTAGACTTTTAATACTCTTTCTATAATAAAAGAACAAGTTGACAAAAAAGTGAGCATATAGTAATTTTGAACATTACTGTTGATTAATTTGACCCACTTGACTCACATACTCTCCAACATTAATATAGCACACTTAATTGTCAAGTGCATGCAGATCCTTTATCAAATTAGGCCATATTATGAGCCATAAAATAAAGCTTGAGAAATTTTAAAGGATTTAAGCAGTACAAAGTATGTTCTATGATTATAGTTGGATTAATTTTTTTTAAAGCCAAAGCAGAAAATTACGTGGAAAATCTCCAAACATTTGGACCCTAAATAACACATTTCTGAATACCTTATGAGTGCTGAGAAGCCAAAAGGTACATTAAAAAGTATTTTTAAATGAATGAAAATGAAAACAGAACATTTCAGAATTTGTGGAATGCTACTAAAGCAGTACTTGGGAAATTTTATAGCACCGAGTTCTTTTATTTGAAAAAAGAAAGGTTTTAATTAATGACCCCCTCTTCCACTTCAGAAAATTAGGGGGAAAAAAGAGCAAGTTAACTCTGAAGTAAGCAAAGGACAGGAAACATTAATTATTAGAGTATAAATCAACAAAAGACAGAACATTTTTTAAATAATAAAATCATCAAAACCAAAGCTGGTGCTTTGCAAAGATTAATAACACTGATAAACCTCTAGCCAGAGTTACCAAGAGTAAAGGAAAGATGATGAAAATAACTATTATCTGAAATTAGAGAAGTTATATTGCTGTGAAGTTAAAGGTATTCAAAACAAATTATGCCTTTAAATTAATAACTAAAGTGAAATTGATAATTTCCATGAATGACACAAATTACCAAATCTCAGTCAAGATCATAGAAAACCTGAATTTCTGCTATAGAAATTGAATTTGTGGTTAAAGGCTTTCTCACAAAGATGATTCCAGGCCTCAGTGACTTCTCTGGTGACTTGTTTCAAATATTTAAGGAAAAATATTACAAAGTCTACACAGACTGTCTCAGAAGATTTTCGGCAAGGGGATACCTTCAACTCTATGAGATGAACATTTCTGCTGCCCAAACCATAAAATAGCATGGAAAGAAAACTATACAGCAATATCCCATGAATACAAGCAAAAATCCTAAACAAAATTTTAGGAAAAAGAATATAACAGTATATAAAAATAATAACTCATCATGATCAAGTGGGATCCTAGGAATACAAGGTTGGTTTAAATTTCAAAAATCAATGTAATTTGTCATATGAACACACTAAGGAAGAAGAAAATGTATAGTCATTTCAATAGATGCATTAAAAGCTTTAGACAAAAATCCAATGTCAGTTACTAATAAAAATTCTCAACAAACTAGAAACAGAAGGGAATTTCCTAAGTTAAAGGGCATTTATGAACAATCTACAAATGACATCAGACTTAATGATAAGGATTAAATGTTTTTACCTTAAGATCAAGACAAGGCTGTCTACTTTTGCCACTTCTATTCAGTATTATCTTACCAAAGCACATAGTTCAGAAGAATAAATAAATGGGTTAAAAGATTAGGACAAACACAAAAGAAAATATATAGAGGGCAAATAAGCACATGAATAGAAATGCTCAATTCCATTATTTTATCAGGGAAATGAAAATAAAAGTGAATAATATACTATCCCTATGGGTTTATTTAAATGGCAAATAGTGGAAAGATTGTAAAGCAAATGGAATTTTCATGTACTGCTAATGAAAATGTAAAATGGTTTACCTACTTTGGAAAATAGTTTGGCAGAAAAGCATCATCACACTACTGAGCTAAAGAATGTACTAAAAAACTGGGAATTGGATAATAATACATTCTTAGCTTTAAAAAATTATATCTCAAAGATAAAGCCAGCATTCTACTCTATTGTTTAAAATAATCCAATAGAATATATAACAGAAGAAAAATTACCATTTATAATAGTAGCCAAAGAGGGAAGGAGGAGAACTAACAAATATGCAAAACTTACACAGAGAGAGCTTTAGCTTTATACCTTTCCAAAGGTATAATCCATAAAAAAATTAAAAATTCATGGAGTGGACTTTTTCAGAATTAAAGACTTCTGATCTCCAAAAGATACTTGTAAGAGAATTAAAAATACAGGTCACAGCCTAGGAGAATATACTTGTAAATCACATAGCTGACAACAATTCTCCCCAGATTGATTTATAGATTCTGTCATAATCACAGGTGCTTTTTTTGCAGCGGGGTGGGCACAAATTAACAAATTGATCCTAAAATTCAAGTAGAAATACAGGAGACCCAGAATAGCCAAACAGTCTTGAAGAGGGGAAACAAGTGGAGAACTCATATTTCCTGATTTCAAAACTTACTACAAGGCTGCAGTTCTCAAAGCATTGTGGTTCCGACATAAAGAGAGAGATATAAATTTTTGGACTAGAATTTAGAGTCAAGAAATGGACCCATCAATTTATTGTCAATTGATTTTCAATAAGGGTGCCAACATAGTTCTTTCAAATTTTCAAAAACCAGCACAAGAACAGCTGGAAATCCCCTTTCCCCTTCTGTACCATATTAAAAAAAAAAAAATGAACTCCAAATGGATCACAAACCTAAATGTAAAATCTAAAACTAAAAAACTCTTAGAACACATCAGAGTAAATCTTCATGACCTTGGCTTAGGTTATAGTTCCTTAGATATGGCACCCAAAACACAAATAACAAAAGAGAAAATAGATACATGGATTCCAAGGACACCATTGGGAAAATGAAAAGGTAGCACAAAATGGGAGAAAATATTTACAAATCCTATATCTCATAAGTGACTTGTATCACAAATACTTTAAAAATCTTTTTTAAAAACTCATCAATAAAAATACAACACAATTTTTAAATGGGCAAGGAATTTGAATGTATATTTCTCCATATAAAATGACCAATAAGTACATGACAGAAATTCACTATCATTATCTCTAGAGAAATGTAAATCAGAATTGTAGTGATACCACTTCACATCCACTAGATGACAAAAAATTTTAAAACAGACAATAACAAGGTTGGTAAAGATCTAAAGATATTGGAATGCTTGTTCATTGGTGCAGAAATTATAAAATCCTATATCCACCTTAGAAAACAGTTAAGAGTTTACTCAAAATGTTAAATGTAGAGTTACCACATTACCTAGCAATCCCACTCATAAGTATATACCTAAGAGAATGGAAAATACAGGTCTACTCAAAATGTATCATAAGTGTTCGCCACATTATTATAATAACCAAAAAGGGGAACAATCCAAATGTTCATCAGCTGATAAATTAGTAGCGTAGTATATCCATACAATGGAATATTATTCAGCAGTGAAAAGGAATGCAGTACTGTTACATCCTATAACATGAATGAACCTTGCTAAGTGAAAGAAACCATTCATATATTGTTCACATATTATGTAATTCCATCTGTATAAAATTCCAGAATAGACAAATCTACTGTAACAAAAATCGTATTCATAGTTTCTAGGGACTAAAATGAGAGGGGAATAGAGAGTACCTCCTAAAATAAGTACAGGGTTTCTTTTGGACATTGATGAACTTGTTATAAAATTAGATAGGTATAATGTTTGTATGACTCTGTGACTATATTAAAAATCATTGAATGCATACCTGAAAAGTATTCATTTTCTCATGTGTGAGTTAAACATATACCTAACATATGATCCAGCCATTCTTCTCTTAGATTACTATGCAAAAGAAAAGAAAGTCAGTTGGCCCTCCATCTGTGGATTCAACCAACCCCAAATCAAAAATATTTGGGGAAAAATGTGTCTCTGCTGAACACGTACAGTTTTTTTCCTTATCATTATTTCCTATACAATACAGTACAATAATTATTTACATAGAACTTATGTTTTATTAGGTACTATAAGAAATCCAGAGATAGTTTAAAGTATACAGGAAGATATGCATAAGTTTTATGCAAATACTACACCACTTTATATCAAGTCTATTTTGCAGAATTAAGCATCTGCAGATTTTGGAATTCCTAGGGCATCCTAGAATTAATACCACAGATACCAATCAACAACAGTACATTTTCATATAAAGATTTGTATATAAATGTCTATATAGCAGCTTCATTTGTAATTGACAAAAACTGGCAACAAACTAAATGACCAGCATCATGGTATACCACTTACCAATAAAAAGAAATGAATTTCAGATTGAGTAACAGATTTTGGAATATTTGCATATTATATAATGAGATATCTTAGGGATATGACCCAAATCTAAACCCAAAGTTCATTTATCAAATATGTACTTTATACCCATGTCCTAAAGGTAATTTAATACAGTATTTTTAGTGCACCTGTGTTTTAACTGCAACCCATCACATGAGGCCAGGTGTGGAATTTTCCATTTGTATCATCATGTCAGTGCTCCAAAAGTTTCAGATTTTGTAGAATTTTGGATTTCAGACTTTCCAATTAGGGATACTCAACCTGTATTGATATATTCAACAATATGGGTAAATGTCAGAATAAGTGTGCTGAGTGAAAGAAGCTAGACATGTCATGTATTTCCTGTATGATTCCATCTAATAAAAGATGCAAATCAATCTATAGTGATAGAAAGTAGATCAGTGGTTGCTAGGCATGGGAATCTGGAAAGACTCAGGAAAAGGTGTTACAAAGGAGCATATGCGATCCTGACGGTCATGGCCTTGTGCATTACTTTGATTGTGGTAATACTTTCATGGGTGTATATGGTGTCGTAGGTATGTACACAATGTCAAGACTTATAAAGTATATAGTTTGTTGTTTGTAAATTATGAGTTGATTTATAACTTAATTTCAATTTTTTTAAAAAAAATATTAATTCCCAATAGTCTGTGTGGTAGATATATAGACCACTATACTGAATATTCCGTGAAGAGACATTAAAGATATAGTAGTTTAATGTGATTTAGTGTTCTTGAAAAGAAAGTGTTATACCAGAAGGGGTAGGGTGTTGGAAAAGGTAGAATGAGAAAATATTTAAATAACTGGACTATATGAAACATTCTTGTCCTTTTTTCACTACTATAAATTAATATTTGATGCTTAATAGGAAAGTAATTTTCCCCTTCACCTTCTTTCTTTGTGTTTCTTTGTGTGAAACCTTTCCTAAGTGTTAGAGAATAACTCAGACAAGTTGTCCCTGGGCCAGTTATAAGCAATTTGAGTCCAAAGCATATATTTTCAGGTTCCATCTCTTAACATCCTTATTGAAAATGCGGCTTACTTTTAGTCTTCTTAATCCTCATGACTTGTTCTCCTCAGTCCTACACACCTCCAAGCAACGAGTTCAAGATCAGCATGAAATTGGAAGCACAGGACCCCAGGAACACCACATCCACATGTATTGCCACAGTAGTTGGACTGACAGGTGCCCGCCTCCGCCTGCGCCTTGATGGTAGTGACAACAAGAATGACTTCTGGCGGCTGGTTGACTCAGCTGAAATCCAGCCTGTTGGGAACTGTGAGAAGAATGGGGGTATGCTACAGCCACCTCTGGGTGAGTAACTAGAACACAGGATTTCCCTAGCCCATCAGTTAGGTTCCAGAAATTGTACTCTTATCATGGAAAGCTTACAATCTCCTCCTATTCCTTCTTTTTCACATGGTCTCCTCAAAAGGCCCATCCAAAATGAAACAGTCTGCAAATCTGGACATTTCTTTCTCTACATTAGTTTATGATAGCCAAGCTTCTCTCAAATTCTTCCTTTTCCTAACAAAAAACCACATTCTTCATCCTTTTTTGTCAGGGCCCTTTATTCCAAGAGAGAAAGTGGAAGGCAGTTTTTCCATTTAATCTTCTCCAAAAAAAAAAAAAGTTACACACATAAACACACACATGCACACGTACACACACACACACAAACACACACACGCACATGCACACACCATGAAGATTTCACCAAATCCTATGACAAGTAGTGAAAGAAAAATCTCCAGTAGAACTGATGACTACTATAAGGGTCCCTTATTTCCTCTCCTCCAGGTTTTCACTTGGTACTTTGAATTTTCTCATTTTGAATCCATTATTAAGAAAATCCATTGCTTCATTTAAATTAATAACCCCACCAAATTTTTCTCTTCCAGATTGAATTTACTTTTTTGCTTCAATATATATGAAAGATTCAGCTCAGCTCATCAATTAYTATCATATTATCAATCACTACTGCACCAAGTTTTGGAGAGAGATGGACTTTAGAACCTGTTGCCCTCAAGAAGCTGAACTAGCTTAATCTAGTCGAATTATATTATTCTGTCTGATTAGATTAACTTGAGCTCCCCATGTGCTTGTTTAACATTTTCTCCCATTTAAAAAAAATTATTTATAATATAAAGTTTCAAATATATGCAAAAGTAAATAATACAGTGAATGTCCATATCATTTAACATGGTTCTCTCTCCTCTATTTCCTAGATTGGTGCTAGATCTAGAGATTTTCTCAGATTCATGTTTTATTTTTCTGTAAGAATATTTCACTGATGGTGGTGTTTACTTCTATGCGGAAGCATGTGTGGTCTGATTGTCTCTTTTTTTTTTATCATGTAGCAGCCATTGATGTTCATGGTTTAGATCAAGAGTTAACAGATTTTCTCAGTGGGTTAAATAGTAAATATTTCAGGCTTGTAGATCTTTTATAGCTACTATTCTTTGTCCTTTTAAGTGTGAAAGCATCCATGAATAATACAAAATAAATTAATAGGCAGGGCTGTTATCAAGCCTGYTGACTATATTTGCTAACCCCCTAGTTTAGATATATAAATTCATTATGGTTGCAAAGTGGAAAACTTTAATCCTGCCATATTCTACACAAATAAAATGAAATATATCTATTAAAATAAACTTTTATCCGTGGGCTAGGGTTGTGGCTCAGAGGTGGAGTGCTTGTTTATCATGTGTGAGGCACTGGGTTTGATCCTCAGCACCACATAAAAATAAAAGATAAAGGTGTTGTGTCTACCTACAACTAAATAAATGTTTTAAAAAGTAAATAAACTTTCATCTGGACTTTCTCACTGCCTGCAGTTCCTGTAGCTCATTAAGACTTACAAAGGAGAATGGGTGCCAAGTTTTACAAATATATAAATCAAGGTTATACATGGATTACAGGGCTTGGGAGGGCTGATTCCAAAGCATGTTATATTTGTTCTTATAAAGGGAGCTAACAAAATTGACATAAATTAGGAAAATAAAATAATTTTTTATCAATTCTTTGGTTATCTTGCAATGATATAATTCATACAGGATTATTTTCTATATCTATTTTTAAAATTATGAATTGATTTACTAGCACACTCCAAAAGTATTTAATAAATGTAGTTGTTATTGTTTATCATAAAATTGTGATATTTTGATTCATCATACTAAAAGTCCGTATTGATACTTGAATTGTCCCATTTGGGGACAGTAGAAGCCTCATCAGATTGTCTCCTTATTCTTACATATATTAGTAATATTTGTAGCTATTGTGAACTTTTGAAATTTCAAAATGTTCCACATTCATCTTGTACATTTTCCACCCTGGGATAGAAGGAGATATTTCTTCTAGGTATCTAAATTTTTTTCAGTGATAAGTGGGATTTAGTGATCATAATCTGAGCACTATAGCACACAGTACTACTAGGGTGGTCACTCTTTCTTCGTTTTTTTGTTAAAGAGGGGCAGGGCATTGCGATTTCATATTAATACTTCCCACTAAAATTCAGAACAGTGGTATTTATGCCTATTTCATCTCTACCATCTTGAATCTGTATCTCCCTTATACCACAACAAACCCTCATTCTCCACATGAACAAATTAACTCATTTGCTTCATTCCACAATACACATATAACAGTTTCAGGCTAGTTATCAACACTATCACCATTATGATTATTGGTAGTGTTTGAGTTATTTGCATTTTTTTCTTACCTTCAAAGGAAATATAGGAAATAACATAAGATCTTATGGATTACCTTTTTTYCTGGATGGTTCTGCCACCAACTTGATAATTCAGATTCATTTGTTTTATTTATTTATTTTTTGAGGAATTGCATTTTAAAAATTAATTTCACTTTATAAATACATTAAATATATTCATTTTAAAAGCAAATTTTATAAAACAAGAGAATAAATCCCCTTCACCCTTTTCTTTCCTTCTTCCATATATAACTGCTCAATTTTATTATTTATCCTTACATTTTGAAAGAGGGAAACAGATTTGAAAGAGGCAAATTTCAAAAACATATTTTGAAATTTATATGTGTATAAATACACAATGTATACATATCAATATATATTTATATGTGTATATACACACATACTTGCCTATAAATACTGACACAAATGATTGCATACTTTACCTACTTTTCTCAACCTTGCTTTTTTCATTTATTGATATGTTCTAAAGATGGCTTCAGAATAGTGTGGAGATATTTCTCATTCCTTTTTACAACTGCATTGTAAAAGTATATTATTCTCATGCTATTTTATGAATCATTATTTAAAAATGCATTGTGATGCAATTAAAAAAATATGAGCTCCCAAGGATAATATAGTGGCCATCTAAATCAAAATCTTTCCAAAAATTCTATAGAAACATACAGATGAAAAAGGAAAACAAACCATTCATAAGCATGCCTAAATTTAACTAGGAGTTAAGAATACCAAAAATTTTAATTATATTTTAGTGGGGATATAAAGATCTAAATCCAGCAGAGGATAGTACCAGACCTGAACCAGAATGAAAATTTTATGCAGATAGGATATACATTAAAAAAAAAAAAAACAGAGAAAAAGCATTGGAAATCTAGCACAACCAAAATCACTCCTAGAAAGCAACAGTTCCATCTAGAATGGAAAATATTAAGTTGTATGGGGCATTTATTCCCATTTCGTCTTCTCATTTCCTCCCCCTGATGTTAACTTGTAGTTATTAATAGTTAATCCCAAATGCCGATTCTTCATTTTACCTGCATTAATATGTGTAAGATTAGTGTTGTGGGTAAAAGCATAGGCTTAGGACTCAAGATTACTTAGGATTCGATCCTGTTTATATCATTTGCACACTTTGAAATTGTAAGCAACTTGGTTAACTTTGTACTTCTTTCCTCCTCTGTAATATATAGATAATAATACTGGTCTCCTAGGGCTGTCTTAAGGGCTAAATTAGATTCGGGGTAAAGTAACAGCACACAGTAAATACTTAAGAACAAAAATATTGTTGTTATTTCCAAGTCTGCAGCTTTGATGCTGAATAGATTTTGAATGGATTGAGAAGACTGAGGTGGGCTAGAAACTGTTGAGAAGCATTTTATTTTGGTCTCAGGATGAAGAATTGAAGGCAAATTATAAGAAGCATTTGGGGCTCGTATTAAACAATATGACAACAATAATGGTCTCAGGTTTATAATTCATTAATTAAATTATTCACATTTACTTGATGGATAACAATGGACAATTAACCCCTCTAGGCCCCTTATTACTCTTTCAGAAAATAAAAGTTTGAGGGTAAGATGATCCCCTCTGACCTCATCATTCCAGATTCTTAGATGTTAAAATAAACAAGGAATATAAAAAAGTAATTTGTACTTGGTTTGTGTTTTTACATGTGTATGTATGAGAGAGAGATAGAAAAATATTGAATTAATTTATATTGAGACAAAGTGATTTGCTTATATGTTGATCTTACTAGTTGGCATGTTTATTTACCTCTTAAGACTATTAGATCCTCTTTTATACTCTACTTTCCAGATTATTTCTAAGTATTTGTTAATCCTGTCTTACAACTTTTTTGAATTTTTCAAGGAAAGTCTTGTAGGCATTATGATATATAGTGTGTGGTTTTTTTWAAAAAATATTTTTTACTTGTAGTTGGACACAATACCTGTATTTTATTTATTTTTATGTGGTGCTGAGGATCGAACCCAGAGTCTCGCATGTGCTAGGTGTGCGCTCGACCGCTAAGCCACAATCCCAGCCCCTAGTGGAAATCCGTCTTACTATTTACTTTGTAGCATTACCCGGGACAAGTTACATTTCCTCCAATGTGCCTCCTTTTCCTCATCTTGTCTAATGAGGCATTTCTTTTATTTAACTTTTAAGTCTATTCCTAATAGCCTATGATTCTATGACTGTCACAGCATGTGTTATGGGAGGAGTAGCTGGAATTTCTTAATCTCCTCTTTGTTGTGTTTGCTGTAGGATTTCGGCTGAATGCCTCCTCTTGGCCCATGTTCCTTTTGAAGACGCTAAATGGAGCAGAGATGGCTCCCATCAGGATTTTCCACAAGGTAGGCCGTGCTTCAGCTATCACCAGTTCCAAGAAGCTTCAGTTCAAATACTTACCTCCTTTCAGTTACTGAGGCTCTGGCATCTGCCTTCTGTTTATGCCCTGAAGATGCCTTCTCAGAACCTGGTTCAGTAGAAGACTATTTTAGTACTTATGAGATACCCGTTATTCTCAGAGAAGTGTATTAAGGCTACAGTAAAATAGGATTCCTGGTTTTTGGTTTCAGCTGTCAATAATAAGTTAATAATATCCTTTTCATTCTTACCTATAAAATAGAACTTACCTTACCTATAAAATAGAACTTACCTATAAAATAGAACTTAACAACCTTATTGGGTTGTTAAGAAGCTATAATGTGTTTATTAATAGAACTATAAAATGTAATATAAATATAAAGGAACAAATCTTAAATGGAGTTCTGTAGAGTCTATGTTCTAAATAGAGAGGAAGAAAGGAGACTTTTTGAGTTCCTACAATAAGTTTGGGTCTTTATATATATACTATTATTATTTAATACCCACAGCTAACTTTATGGATTAAGAATTAGTAGTTCGAGATCCACCCAAACCAAGTTCTGTAGGGCCCAGGCACACAGCGGGTCCACTCCTTTCCCAACAAGGCAGACACACGCCAGAGCCTGGCCTCTGGTGCAGGACTGCCCCTTCTGACCAGTGCACTGCTGCAAGAGCCAAGATCCAACCAGAGGGCTCACACAGCCTGTACAGGATCCAGGATTTCAGTAGGCCCGGTTCACCCCTCCCCCAGCAGGTCAGACACTGCCAGAGCCTAGCCTTTTGTACAGGACCACCCCTTCCTACCAGCAGACTATCATGGGAGGTCAAGCCCAGTGGCCCAGATCCACCCACTCCAACTTACACAGGTCCCAGTCACAGGATGCAGTAGCATCCATTGAGGGACACCAGCAGGGTCTGGAAAGCTCAATATCAAGGTGAGGTACAGACAATTTGAACATGTACTACAAGAATATAGGGAAGAAACTGTAATATCTCAGATCCACACTTCAAGAAAGGAAGACACATAAACAACATGAAAAAACAAGGGAGGAAAGTGCCCCAAACAAACCAGTACACTATTATAACAGAACCTATGGACAGAGAAGTTGATGGAATGTCAGAGAAGGAGTTCAGAAGGTTCATAATTAAAATGATATGTGAATTAAAGAATGACCTAAATAAGCAAATACAAGCAAAAATTGATCATTCTGACAGTGAGGTAAGAGAGCAAATACAGGTAGCAAAAGATTACTTCAAGAGAGAAAGAGAGACTCTGAAAAAAAGCCAGTCAGAAATTCTTGAAATGAAGGATACAATAAATCAAATAAAAACTCAATAGAAGGCATATCCAACAGACTAGATCACTTGGAAGAAAGAGAATGTCAGATAATGAAGACAAAGTATACAATCTGGAAAATAAAGTTGATCACACAGTGAAGAAAGTTAGAAACCATGACAGAACATCCAAGAATTATGGGACAGCATCAAAAGACCAAAACTAAGAGTTGTTGGGATATAGGAAGGCACAGAGTTTCAAACCAAAGGAATGCACAATCTCTTCAATGAGATAATAGCAGAAAATTTCCCAAGCATGAAGAATGAATTGGAAAACCAAATACAAGAGGCTTACAGGACACCAAATGTACAAAATTACAACAGATCTACACCAAGGCACATTATAATAAAAATGCCTAGCATACAGAATAAGGATAGAATCTTAAAAGCCACAAGAGAGAGGAATCAGATCACATACCAGGGGAGACCAATTCATATCTCAGCAGATTTTTCAATCCAGACCCTCAAAGCCAGAAGGTCATGAAACAACATATWCCAAGCTCTGAAAGAAAATGGATGCCAACCAAGAATCTTATATCCAGCAAAATTAGCTTTAGATTTGATGATGAAATAAAATCTTCCATGATAAAAGTATTTACAACTAGAAAGCATGCATTACAGAACATCCTCAGCAAAATATTCCACAAGAGAAATAAAAGACAATGATGAAAATCAGCAGAGGGAGGAATTACACTAAAGGAAAATCTAATCAGAAGAAACCAAGTCACGTTAAATACCAAAAATAAACAAAAATGACTGAGAATACAAATCATGTCTCAATTATGTCCCTGGATGTTAATGGCCTAAACTACCAATCAAAAGCAGATTTGATAAAAAAAAAAAAAGACCCAACAATATGCTGCCTCTAAGAGACACATCTCATAGAAAAAGACATTCACAGATTGAAGGTGAAGGGTTAGGAAAAATCATACCACTCACATGGACTGCAGAAGCAAGCAGGGGTTTCCATCCTCATGTCAAATAAAATAGACTTCAAACTAAAGTCAATCAAAAAGGATAAAGAAGGACACTACATACTGCTCAAAGGAACCATACACCAACAAGACTTAACAATTATATATGCTCCAAACAACGGAGCGTCAAACAAACTCTTTCCAAGTTAAAGATTCAAATAGATCACAACACAGTAATTTTGGATGACTTTAACACACCTTTTCTACCACTAGATAGATCTTCCAAACAAAAGCTGAACAAAGAAACTATAGAATGCAATAATACAGTCAATAACTTAGACTTAACTGACATATATAGAATATTCCACCTTCAACAAGAGAATATATTTTCTTCTCAGCAGCACATGGATCCTTCTCTAAAATACACCATATACTATGCCACAAAGCAATTCTAAGCAAATATAAAAAAGTAGAGATACTACCCTGCATTCTATCAGATCATAATGGAATGAAATTAGGAATCAATGAAAAAATAAGAAATAAAATCCACTTCAACACCTGGAGACTAAATAATATGCTACTGAATGAACAATGGGTTATAGAAGACATCAAGGAGGAGATTAAAAAGTTTTTAGAACTTTAGATTTAAAAAGTTTTTAGAACACAGATATATCGAAATCTCTGGGACACTATGAAAGCAGTGTTCATTGCATGGAGTTCATTCCTTAAAAGAAGAAAAAGTCAACAAATAAATGATTTAATACTACCTCTTTAAAGCCCTAGAGAATGAAGAACAAATCAACACCAAAAGTATCAGAAGACAGGAAATAATTAAAATCAGAGCTTAAATTAATGAAATTGAAACGAAAGAAACAATTGAAAAAATTGACAAAACTAAAAGCTGGTTCTTTGAAAAAATAAATAAAATTGACAGACCCTTAGCCATGCTAACGAAGAGAAGGAGAGAGAAAACTCAAATCACTAACATACGTGATAAAAAGGAAATATCACAACAGACACTACAGAAATACAGAAGATAATTAGAAATTATTTTGAAAACTCCAATAAAATAGAAAATATTGAAAGCATTGACAAATTTCTAGTCATATAATTTGCCCAAATTGAATCAGGATGATATACAGAATTTAAACTGATCAATTTCAAGCAATGAAAAAGAAGATACCATCAGAAGTCTACCAACCAAGAAAAGCCCAGGACCGGATGGATATACAGCTGAGTTCTACAAGACCTTTAAAGAAGAACTAATACAAATACTCTTCAATTTATCCCAGGAAATAGAAAAAGAGGGAATACTTCCAAACTCATTGTATGAGGCCAATATCACCCTGATTCCAAAACCAGGCAAAGACACATGAAAAAAAAAAAAAAAGAAAGAAAGAAAACTTCAGACCAATATCTCTAATGAACATAGATGGAAAAATTCTCAATAAAATTCTGGCAAATCGAATGCAAAAATATATCAAAAAGATAGTGCACCATGAACAAGTGGAATTCGTTCCAGGGATGCAAGGTTGGTTCAACATATGGAAATCAATAAATGTAATTCATCACATCAGTAAACTTAAAGATAAGAATCATATGATCATCTCAATAGATGCGGAAAAAGCATTTGACAAAATACAGTACCCTTTTATGTTCAAAACACTAGAAAAACTTGGGATAAAAGGCATATATCTCAACATCATAAAGGCTATCTATACTAAGCCCCAGGCCAACATCATTCTAAATGGAGAAAAATTAAAAGCATTCCCTCTAAAAATTGAACAAGGGATGCCCTCTTTCACCACTTCTATTTAACATATTCTTGAAACACTGGCCAGAGAAATTAGATGAAAGAAATTAAAGGGATACACTTAGGAAAAGAAGAACTCAAATTGGCACTATTTGCAGATGATATGATTCATACCCGGAAGACCCTAAAAATTCCACCAGAAAAACTCCCAGAACTAGTAAATGAGTTCAGCAAAGTAGCAGTATATAAAATCAACACTCATAAATCAAAGGAATTTCTGTATATTAGTGACAAATCTTCAGAAAGGGAAATGAGGAAAACTACCCCATTCTCAATAGCCTAAAAAAAATAAAATAAAATGCTTGGGAATCAACTTAATGAAAGAGGTGAAAGATCTATATAATGAAAATTACAGAACCCTAAAGAAAGAAATCAAAGAAGATCTTAGAAGATGGAAAGATCTATCTTGCTCTTGGATAGGCAGAATTAATATTATCAAAATGACCATACTTCCAAAAGCCCTATACAGATTTAATGCAATTCCAATCAAAATCCCAATGACATTCCTCATAGAAATAGAAAAAGTAATCGTGAAATTCATCTGGAAAAATAAGAGACCCAGAATAGCTAAAACAATTCTTAGTAGGAAGAGTGAAGCAGATGGCATCACTAGACCAGACTTTAAACTATACAGCAGAGCAATAGTAACAAAAACAGCATGGTATTGGCACCAAAACAGACCGGTAGACCAGTGGTACAGAATAGAGGATACAGAGACTAACCCACAAAACTACAGTTCTCTTATATTAGACAAAGGTGCCAAGAACATGCATTGGGGAAAGATAGCCTCTTCAACAAATGGTATTGGGAAAACTAGAAACCCATATGCAACAAAATGAGATTAAACCCCTATCTCTCACCATACACAAAACTCAACTCAAAATGGATCAAGGACTTAGGAATACAACCAGAGACCCTTCATCTA